GTTGAGTGGTTCGAAGTATTACGTAGTTAGTATCAGCAATTTCTTATGCTGAAGTGTACGATGTGTTGCATACCTGTTTACAAACAATTCCTTTAAATTTAATTTTTCAAACAATTTTTAACACAAAGAAAGTGATTAAACAAATTGTTTACAAAAGTGAATTTCGACCACTCGAAGCAATGGTAGTAACAGTTTCGAGCTCACAGTGACTGATAAGGGGGAAGAACTAGTTTATTGTAATATAATTAAAAATACAAAAAAGTCTCTGTAAGTTCATAAAATGTAAAATATACAAGCAAACTCGTTTTTTTTCGTGAAAAAGGTAACCTATAATATTGCCCCTTTCGGTTAAATTCAATTCAAAAAAAGTGGTCTAAATGAGATCTTATTGTGACACTTTGAAATAGTCAAAATTTTGAGTATAGGTTTTTATTTGGATATACGACGAATAGAACTTGGTAGTTCACATTCTTGGGATTCTCATTCATGTTTTTCAAGATAATAACTTCTACAAATAAACAAATCTGGTTACCTGTATGGGTCCGCATATGCCTCTTCAAAAGGGAAGGTCTATCGAATCCTTTGGAACAAACCTTGCACATAAGTAAACATTTTTCCTTTTTTATTTTATAATGCACAGGTTTTCTCATTACCCTTGTCGATATGGAAAGATCTAGCGGTTGATCCATGTGTTTCCAGAAAAACAAACTGCTTGAGTACTGAATTTATTAGTCGATAATATTAGGTAGCATTTGTAACTGATTCCAAGAAATGTTTGTGTAACATTATCGGATATGTTGTATGTCTATTAATTATGCGACTTTCACTCTTAATCTACCCTGCCATAAAAATGTGCAGAGATATACTTTGAGCTCAAAGTGGGGGATAAACATCCACCATTGGCACCTTCAGATATAAAGGAACTTCACAATTAAACCGTGCATCAATCATTTCGCTAGTTTACAGGATGTTTCACTTTTTACGTACAATATTACAGGTTAATAAAAGTAAAGACGTAGTTAAGATTTAGGAATCTCCTATTTATTCAAAAGCAATTAATTATAGCCAGTCTAAATTTAATTGAATTGAAAAATATGTATATCTCTTTTAAAAATATCCTTCAATAGTTCTCTAACGTCCTGGCTAACATCTTCAGGATATTACCCAAGAAATATCGATTACCTTAAAACAATGACCACGAAAAACTTATCCAAAAATTCAAATGATTATATGTTTGATCTCAAATCTGCTTTTCTGCCAATGCTGTCCGTCTGTTTGTATCTCTCTTCCAATAAAAAAATAATCCTTCATATAGTACATAGCAGTTCATAAATACTCAAAAGGATAAAAGAATATTTTATACATAAGCTAGGAGTTACTTTTTTGGATGTATTTTGGCTACTCCAAATCCAGGATCTGTTAAATATTAAGAGGAGCTGCTAATATTTTTACAGTAAAATTCAGGACCATGGGTTTAGATGTATTTGTTGTTTTAATTTATAATGAATTTCACCTAAATAATGCTTAATAAACATGTTTGATGTTCTTTTGTAGCGTTGAGGGTAAAATTTTAGCATAAAACGGAACTTGCGCCCACAAAATTTACAAAATGGACAGTGGCTAGGGTTTCATCGCTGGATGGGAATGATTGTACAGTGATTTTAATTTATTTATTATTTTCATTTTCCCTATTGAACAATAATTGTTTCGTATAAACAAATGGAGTGGGTAATATTAGGCAATTTGACTTAAAAGAAAAGTTTTTTCCAGTCAATTATGTCGTTACAAAATCTTGAGTTATCTCGTCTGTACACCACTGACTCCTGCGGCTCCTTTAATAAAAGGACTACTGTTTTTGCTACTTTATACGTCTACGTCTTTCAAGCAAAAAGGAAATGTGAATTTTATTCATCAGACTTATAAAGTTCATATTTGAAAATTTGGTCGCATAATTGTCTCTAATGTTGGTTGAACTTGAAATTTTTACCATTGAATTTTACATTATACAAACTTTTCAGTTTAATCCATTTCTTATTTTTATTTTAAACAATAATTGTTCGTGATCAGACTTCCGTCATTTTTTAATAGGTTAATATTAAGGTTTCATGGGAGTTTCCTGCGCAATCCTTAGTTTTTCTTATTTTTAGAGACATTTTATGGGCACAAAAATTACTCCCATTTTTATTTAATTGTTAGATGTTTGTAGCCTCTTGAATGAACAGTTGGTAGTGCATTTAACCCAGACTAACAACAAATTTTATAATTTGAATTGCGACGAATTTATTTGAATTGCGTCTTCACAACCTAATTGAATACTCCGTATACCTCCTACGTATTTCGTTCCCAATACATTTTTTTATGTCACCCTGTATCTGCAAGAACGATATCGTTATTTTTAAGTAATCGTCATAAGCAAATTTCCCAATTCACGTTTTGAATGCGCACAAAAATATAACAATGTAACCGTTCGAACTGATGATGTGGTGACTACAATAACGCAGCAGGATTAAGGATAATGTGATGTCCTGGGTAGCATATTGCGCATTAACTTGCTTTTCTCACCTGTCACTTGATTAATGTAATACTTCCTGAAAATAAATTCGGTTTTTCGATTTCGATACAGGAATTAAGAGCTAATACATACCTATTAAATGTTCACACCAACCCAGAAAGCTGATGTTCCTTATTTTCGCTACAGGCGTAACCCTACTCCGAAAATAGTAATGTAATTGATGGAGTTTTAAATAGATGTTGAAATTATTGCATGTTTAGTTGGCATATTTTTTACTTGGTTATTATCATAAACTACATTTTCAGTAAAAGATACCCGAGATAAAAATCTTCAGTCTCTCAGAGTCTCTAAAAGCGAGACTCGAGTCTCCGTCTTTCATCGAGTCTCTCTGGTGTCGCCGAGAGAGACTGTCGAGAGACTGTCAAAACAACTGTTTAGCGTCTCTGAACTAGAGACTCGAGTCGCTTATAGAGGGATCCTCATTTCGTATCCAGACTCTGAACGAGAGGCTCGAATCTCTGAATTAACAATTTTATCGTTCGAGTCTCTCATAAGAGACTATGAGAGATCCATAAAAACACCTAGGCAATAACCGAAAGATTGTGAAAGACTGTGAGAGACGCTGAAAGACTCTGAGAGACTGGAGAGAGACTGAAAATTTTTGTCTAGGGTATGTATGTATGTATACGAAATATTATTTTCTGTTAATCTTTTTTTATATTCAATTTTACCATTCATAGTAGGGAACTTTCAGAGGGCGAGTAGGCAAACCGCCTCACCACCCTGTCCTATTCGTTTTTATTGATTTTGAATTTACTGTTATTTTTCGTTATCCTCGTTATCCCTTTATTGATTCTACTTTTTAAACGGTCGCTAATTGGCCTACTAACCCAGCAGGTAATAGTTGTTAGCTTGTAATTTTGAATAAATAATTTAGTATGTATCTTTAACCTTTCATAAATTTGTATCAGTGACCTGAACAGGAATTTATGGATATTAGAAACTTGTAACGTTCGTTATCCAACGTAGGTGAGCACTAATTGTAATACAAAAAAAATTTTTTTTAAAAAAATTTTTTTTATAATAATCGGTTCAAAGTTTGATGTATTGATCAAGAGAGTTCAAAAGGCGAGTCAGCTAAAATTTTGCATACAGGTTCCTTATACAGCCGTATCATCCACCATAAAATGCGTTTTCAACAATCGTATGAGCTTAAAAAGAAGACAGTTATTTCGATATTATAGATACATTTCAGTCAGTTTCAGGTTAGGTAAACATAACAACAAATCAATTTTTATAACTTTATTAATTTAGAGTTATTACATCCGTTAGTTCAGAATAGAACAGTTTATTTTAGTTTAATAGTTCAGCAATATTTTTTTTTATATATTGAATTAAATCAAATAAATAATTTTTATAAAAGCTGGGACTATTTTTAACTTTACTGAGTCACAGTCTCTAAATTTAATTATTTATTTGCAGTATATGTCTTCGGTACGTGATATTATGCAAATAAAATTATTGAGGCCAAACGCATTTCACAGGATGTTAGTATTATCATACTTTACCATTTCACTAATCTCGGGATCGTCTTCCTGATTTTATTTCCAAATCAAAAATTACCTAACGTTTCCTATTAACCCAAATTAATTCGGCGAGAGAATATAAATATTTACAAACGATTGCTTGGATTATATGCAAATAAATTTTATTAAAAAAAGGTTTAAAGAAAGATCCTTTAAATTATCGAAATATTTAACTTTATTTTAAACATTATTGGATAAAAATTGAAGTCTGATTTTTTTTGTATATATTCAAGCAAAGTTGTATGTAGTTTTCGATATGCCCGTATTTTTTTCCTATTTTGAGAAACTGCGTTGTAAATTATCAAAGTAAAAATAATGTGTAAAGGTTTGATTTTTATGTTGAAGGTTAATTTTATTGGGGTGTGTATTAACAATCTTAGAACAATATTGCAGATACTTTATTTTTATTTTGTTAATATACCTTTTTATCGTTGTATAATGCTTGGAAATTAAATGTTTATTTTTAAGGGAAAAAGAAAGCACCGATTGCATCTACCTATTCCAGTTTTAATAGCAATAACTTTACAAGCATATTGACAGTCTCAACATAAAAATACAAAAACGTTTCAGAGATGAATAAACTAAAAATAACATTATGTAAATCGTTGGATAAGGTTTTACTCCACACTATGCACACTGCAAATGTTAGTGATGCTCCTCCCAGTAATTTTTACCAATGATTTGGGCATGAGACGGGTCGCTGCGAAATTGTTTCTAATATTGCTCAATTTCGACAAAAAACCAGCATCGCGTTAACATTGCTAAGGAGCTGTTGGACTCTGTCCGCGACGACCCAAATTTGCTCCAGATTGTTATAACTGGTGACGAATCATGGGTTTATGGTTATAACGTAGAAACTAAAACTCAAACATCCCAATGGAAACTGTCTGCGTGGTGTATCATTAGTTCTTGCTACAGGGTAGAACGGTTAATATGAAATATTACCTGCAAGTTATGCGCAATTTGCCCGAAGAAATTACCAAAAACGCCCGGATTTGTGGATGAACAAAAATTGTCTATGATAACGCCCCTGCTCACAGATCGTTCCTTGTGCGTCAATTTTTGTCCAAAAATAATACACTAATAATTCCACAGCCATCGCCATTCACCAAATCTATCTCTCTGTGACTTTTTCTTGTTCCGGAAACTAAAGAGGCCCATGAAAGGACGACGCTATGCTACGATCGAGGAGATAAAAACGGCGTCGAAGAGGAGCTGAATTTTAAAATGATTTTTTAAAATGCTTCGAGGATTGGAAAAAACGTTGGCACAACTGTATAATATCTAGTGAGGATTACTTTCACGGGAAAAAAATAGATATTCATGAATAAATAAATAATTAAAAAAAAACAGAAAATTCGCGATACTTTTTGAACAGACCTCGTATGTTGCGCATGTCAGAATTTTTCAGAATTGCTGAATAGGTAAGTTTTATAAGGCATCAAACTTTATTTTGTTTCTATTTCGGACTAGATTTCAAATTATCCACTGAGTCAAATGATGTGATTCTGGACTCGTACATGATGTGCGCGACTGGGCACATGCACGCTTA